CTATCCGCGACCTGGGGACGCGCTCGGTAGCATACAGCTCTGCTCTCCGACTAATAAGGTAGCTCGTCCTTAAGCTGTTCACCATAAGGTGAATTGTTACTGCAACTCCAGTGCGCTGTAATAAAACGGTTAGCAGTGGTTTTGAGTAGACGACGTTCCATTTTTTTCCGTGGCATATGTCTCCACTAAATGACACCATCAACACTTTGCTATCTGCGTTTTACGTCATCCGATGTTGTCACATGATATTAAACGAAAGGTCTCGGATGTTTATTTGTTCGGAGTACGTCTCCGATGTGGTTTTTCTTGCCATCTAGAATCCATTTGTCCTCTAGACCATAATCACACCTAATTTAATCTGTATATCTGTGGAACAAAAATAAGTTTTTTGTGTAATATTTTCTACAATATAACTTCAGGGGCAAACGAGATCACACTTTTATAATCGGTGTTATGTTATGTTATGTTCGCATGCAAAAATTGTTCATCTAGCTACTATGTTTCAGAAATCCCTTTCTAGTATTGTGTTTGTGCTAGGAATTTTAAGGTTTTTCATAGGGATTGTACGTGGTTCCCTTTCTACTGTATTCTTCAATTTTCACCGTTGAATATTCAACCACTTGCAATTCAAAAGTTGTGCAATGCAAAAACGTGTTTTCTTTCAGACTATACATTTGCATTCCACATACAATCCATTCTCGTTCATGTGTCATTTTAGGTGATATCACAGAAAAGGGCTACCAGAAAAAGAAAGCCAAACTTCTAGCGCCATATTTGGATTCACGTGGTAAGTGTACACCAAACGTTAACTTGTCCGATATCATTTCATCAGTTAGAAGCTTCGCTGTTGTCCGGCTCAATATCACAGCTTTTGTGTTGTTCCCGGGGCGACGACGTGATGTTTCATTGAAGTTGAAAAGTGGTGTATACTGCGCCACTGTACGATCAGTTCCAATTTTTGTTGAAACACTGTGGTTATGTGCTCGCTGAATATCCACCTCTCGGGGTGTATAAAGCCATTCCTTGACTTGATTTCTGCTTCACGGTTGAGACCTTGAACTTGCGGGTAGAAGAAATCCGTCGTTTATCAGTGTTCGATGCTTACGTAGTCTGGCCCAAGTGGGAGAGAGTGAGCGGGTTAGTAACTGTCAAATAATGTGCAGTATCCAAAAAGTCTCTGTACTGGAAAAAATACGTATACGACTAAAAAATTTATTACAAAATAAGGTCTAAAAGCATAGCGTTTTTTGGCAAATAATGGAATTATATGATTACTGTCCACTGTGCTGTGCCGCTGCTGATGATATAAAAGATGTCCCTCTTATCCTTGGTCGCATGCACTAGTTTTTCTAACATTCAACCCGTTTTTAATATCTTTTCTCCTTAACCAATGGGTTAGGACGATGACCTCCTAATGAGTTCACTCCTACCCTCTGATTAAGTGACTCTCTTCCGGCTGCTGCGCGTGCTGTTCCAACTCGCGATATATGGTGTTCATGGATTGATGCGTTTGATTGAATAGACAAAATTCGCTTGGTTTTTAAAGCATATCGGTGTTGAAATCTCTTCCCCACAACAAACTCGTCGGATCTAGACCCCCCAATCTAGTAACTAATCTTTACTCTCCACTCGATATGGATGTAATCCACTCGCGGTACTCCGGGGTCCCCAGAAATAGACGTCTCTGACCGAGTATGCGTTAGAACAGTACTGTCTTTTGAACTGGATCTCAATCTTTTGTCCACTAGTCACATCTGGTAAATCAAAGGACCGTATAAAGTAAATAATAAACGAGTTGACGAGCAATCAATCTCTGCACAACCTAAATACTACGAAAGGCAGATTTTAACAACATCTTATCGAATTGTGTGTGCCATTCCGGGGAGTTACAGGATAGCATTCCCTTTACTTTATCGCACACTCACAGTTTATTTGGCTATCCAGTCTTTGTCGTTCTGTTGCCTCTTCTAAATTCTTTACCCCTCTGTTTTTATACGTACCTCAATGGTTTTCCATTGAGCATATCTCCTCCCCGATATTGGCTCATATATTCGTGCCAAACAAGTTAACGGGAATCTGTTCTTTATTGGTTGTCTAGAGGAGGAGTTGCAAAGATTCGATTGATAAAACGAAGTATTAATCGAGTTTTCAGATGACACTGAGGGATTGTGTGTTCTAAGAAATGATTAGTGCCAGTTATTTCCGCACCATGACCGTTAGAGGTCATGAAAGCACGGCGGGACCTAACTGAAATGTAGTCAATTTGACATCAAGAGATTTGGGGAGACAATGATAATAACGAAACAATAATAATAATAATAATAATAATAATAACGGGATTACTCCCCCGACAGTGCTCAGTTAGGGTCTCCCAGTAGAACTTACTTACTTACTTATTCTAAATTTTACATTTTAATCGTACAGACACCCCACAACTTACTTACTCCTACATACACTCAGTAGTTCAGTCCAGTTCAGTTCTTACAACCATTAACCATGCACTTTCGTGTGTCGGTTTTGGTTGCTCATTGGGATATAATAGCAGAATGATGATTAGATTGTTGAGAGCAGATTCAAGCGAAAGGTGGCACATTTTCATAGACTGAAGTTACAAGAATAATCAGTAGATGCATGAGCGTCACTGTTTGCGACATCCAGCCATATCGCTCAAAGTCTCTAACCACCGGTGACCATGATCTCTGGGTCCCCATCCACGGGACCTATGTGAGCCATTCTCCTGGTCAGGGTTTTAATACCCTCATGCCAGGTCTTAGCTTGACCACCCTTCATTTTTTTCCAACCGCTACCTGCCTGGGCAAGCTATTTGGTGACATGCGTAACACATATCCCAACTAACGTAATCTATGGAGGTTGACTACCTGTTCCATTGGGCGACCGCCATTATCTAAAACTCTGCGTCTAACCTCAGCATTGCTCGTCCGGTTACTCCATCAGACTCGTGCAATGCGACGTAGACAGCGCTGTTCGAACACCGACAATCTATTTTTATCCTGTTCTCGTATTGGCTAAGTCTCTGCACCGTAAAGCAGAACTGGCCGAACTGCACTCAGTAGTACCAATCCGCAATTAAATAGTTTACCGCATATTAGAAGTTCAGTGCTCTTGTGTTCACATGAGGATGGGGACACATTCGAAGTTCCATGTAATGCGAAATTGAGGAGTAAGGAAGAATAAATAGTNAGTAGTGCTGTAATCTGACATTCATCTTCAGTTATTTGTGTATTGCAAACAAATTAGAATGATGGATTTATCCGGTTCATTTTTCAACGTCCATGGTGCTCACGAGGGACAGATTACAACGATATATTTACGGCATAATTTTGTGCAGTACAATGTCTCAGGAGTAAATCTCAGCAGAGAACACAAAAGACATTCCGTACTGTAGGCATCCGGCTCAGTGAAGACCATATCGCTATGGTCACTACTCAAATCGGAGGCTAATTCATCGCGTGCGCGATTACACAGGGTAGAGAAGCACGGTTGATGAGGAAGCTTCAGTAGGCAGTTTGTCGCAAGTTCGACATATAGCATATCAATAGCTGGACCAATGGTATCAGCTACAAGGAATGCACCGAGCAAACAGAGTTTGCGCTCAATATATATATATATATATATATATATTGNTCTAACCTACTTACAAAACATAGAACCAAAGCATTGATTCTTCAGTGGACTGTCTCTGAAAGAGCTGTCTATCCAATAGTCACCCGATGTTGCAGAGAAGGTTATTGTGACGAAAATACACTTCCTGAGTACAAGTATATGAATGAACTGACAAAAGATTACCGGATACGCAAGATTGGTGAGCGGCAAGAACCGCGAAACCGGTCGTGTGCTTCTAGGGAAATTTTGTCCAGTCATTCACATACTACTTATTATGATATATATGTATATACATAGTTCCAAAATTATATTTTAACCTAAAAACTCACTATCCTTTGTTGCTATATATTAGGTGTATTGGTGAATTTTTCGGTTTTCCGACTTCCGGTTAAATACTTTTGCATGTTTTTGATCTATTACAATTGATCCTAGCACACACTCCTCCGATCGCCACAAACATCCACCAGTCCCACACAACTCAAAGTGGAGTTCACATTCCTTGCGGTGCTATCCAGTTACCTGGTCTGACTGGCAATGGTGGCCTGGATTCTTGTGTGTCCACACATGTGTTGCGTTCCACAGGATCCTCTTCTGAAGATGGACAGGATCAGTCAGCAGACAGCAACGGTCGGATAGCTCCAGAATCGTCGCAACCGTCCGAAGAGAATGGATCATTGTCTAATCGAGTACCAAATCGTCGGTATCTACGGGACGATAATCGCTATCGTTCCGGTAGGTTTTTTCATGGATTAGTGTACTTCACTGTATTTATCGTGTTCTTCATCAATCTCTCCATCACTTTCAACATCCGCTTACCATTTTCCTACTTTGATGAAACCGTTCTTACAATTCAACAGGTGACACGGAAATAAGGCATGATGAAATTCATCGAATGATTGACCAGATTAGGTTAGAGTTTAAACGACTGTAACTGGTTAGCTGAGGATCTTGAAGGACACGGCAATGACCTGATAGCCATACTGCTGTTATTACGTGTTTGTGCACAGTTTGACACTGTAGTTTTTTGTTCACCATAGGGACTCACTCACTTTATTCCATTTTCCCATCCTCCGTCCCCCATCCAGCTTGTGCATACGCACTGACGTTATGTATACTGGGAATATGACAGCAAATCGCAAAGTTCACTTCATTGTATTTCGCTGTACAATAATGGTGATTCTTTCTATTCCAGTCCGAGGAGTTTAGAGACTACATTACATCTTTCTAAAGATGTGCCGTGAAAAAAAATTGACCAACTCTGAATGGAATCTCGTCTGAATCTTTTCGGGAGGTAATTGCACATGTTTGTCAACTAGGTACGAGTTTCTGGTGTTCTTCCATGTGTATTGCAACTTCTCGCTCATGTTGCAACACTTGCTCAAAATGAAAACATACAGCGATCAACTTGCTCCATTGATATTTTCTATCGATTCTGAACGATGCTCTGGGAGCATTCCATCGCCGATAAAGTTTCTCGTAATCACGCTTAAATGATTCACCCATCCTAGCTCTTCCGTACACTGTGATTTTCGTTTCTGAGTTCTGTCATTCACTCTGAACGCTATCACCATCCTTTATAAACAAGGTGTTTTATTATTATTATACACTAAAATGAATTCTTAGTCTGGAACTCATTTTGAGTTCCGTGATTAAAACCATGCTACCACTACCGCCACCCAACTTTGGTGATGAAAAACTTGGCTTTCCTCCACTTGAACACTACAGCTATCTTATCCTATTCTTTATGTGGTCTTCTCATCCGCGTTTCAGGGCTTGGGCTACCTACCTGACAAATAGTTAGTCGCTATGATTGTGGGTTCACTTTTACCTTCCATGGCATCAAAGTATGTCGCATTTGACTCACAATTACTTTTGAGTAATGATGTGGGATAATTGGTTTCTTATTGATTTGAGCTGCCTATCCCTCGGACTTCACCTTCACACAGTCCTCAGTTAATCGATTCAACCATACGCTCGTTGCTGTCGGGCCAAATGAACTGACTGACGATCACTGAAGACAACACCTGAACAAACATAAATTGGCAATTTGGTTCAGCCATGGCATGAACTGGTTGACACAGTGGTAACACACGCCTTCCATGCAATGGGTCCGGAGTTCGAATCCCGTACGGAACAGTTGATATGCACTACTGGTGAGCTCTAATAAGGGCGAAACTTGAGTCTAGTGCTTCCGAGCGTATGGTTGAATCGATGAACTGAGGATTGTGTGTGAAGGTGAAGTCCAAAGGATAGTTAGGTCAAATCAATCACAGTATCTCATAATAGCATTTTTGGCATAAATTTTCGCTGTTTTCACCAAAGTCATCTACACTTAATTTATATTGTCAAGTGTAATGGACTTCAATCGGCGTCTTTTGCATACTTCGTAAGTTGTGGTAGCTCCCGCGTTTCTAAGGGCCGTTGCTTCGAAGTGACGCTAATTCATGGTGGATGGGTCTTCAACTCAGTTCTTTCATACCCATATATCTTCAGTCAAACTCTTGAAATCGGGCCCTGACCTGACCAATTCGCGCTGCCTTACGAACTCGACTCGATTCGGGGATCTTCATAGCTGATCTGTATCCGTGTAATGCTCCTAGATTGCTCTTGTAAATCTGTGAAACTCCACTTTTAAGCCACTAACTGCTGTGTCCGGATGACAACTTTATAGTGGTAGGTGGGGATGACCACTGATGCACCACTATCCGCCGCAGATGAGAATGTAGCCGAGCTTCCGGTGTGGAATACTGTACACTACTCGCAGGCGTGGACTGTGGAAATTGAAGTTTTCAGTTACCTGCTGCGGCGACATCCCCTATATATATATATCCCACACGTCTGCGGCCAGCCTGTGTGGTGGTGGCGCAGTGGTTAAGTCGCTATCACAGGCGTGCTTCGAGGTTCGAGCCCCACCACTACCCAACTTTGATGGTAGGCAGCTATGCTGTCGTCCGATTCAGTACCATACCTAACCTATCACCACCTTATGTGGTTCGCCACTCCAAGTCCTGGGAATTAGGTTACCGGTCTCCATCACTGAACAACAAGTCCTCGGGACTATGGCACTTTCTCCGTCTGCTTTCATCACACGAAAGGTGTGTGTTATATTATATTATATTTCTCACTTGTCTAAGGACAAACTGTGTGCCAGGCAAATCATGGTACAATAATCTTTATGGAAAAGCAAAACGTTCCCTGATTGGTTTGAGGGCTGAATACTGCCAGGTTGCCCAGGCCAAGGCAGATGAATTTTCTTGAGGAATCCACAACCGGAACCTTCGGTTAGCCAAAACCCGACTCTCAAGACAACGGAGCTGTGTAAAACCCTCAGTCCATTGGGATTCAGCGTCCAGTTGATCGGATCATACGCCCTTCCGATGGGGTCAAACGTCCAAGGTTCCCAATCGAGCCGGTGCCCACTGCCACAACCGGAAAGGTGTGGGTGTGGTTCCTAGGCCTCCCCTTGGTTGTTTTGGAATCAGGCTTTTTAGCCAACTCCCCTAGGTGAACTACCAGTGGTTCACCGAAGCGGTTATAGCCTCGAACATTAGCAAACCGCCTCCACCACTAGGAGGCAGTGCGTAGGGCTTCTTCAGCAGAGGCTGTTTGAGACGCTCGGTCGCGTAGGGGAATTTCGTAAGGTGCAAGGAAGGAGTGACCAGCGGCAACCCAAGATGCCCACCCCCGACCATACGAAGACACTCTCTGTACTGGTCCACACGCTTAGACTTTTTTTGAACAAAAAACTCACTGTACAATTTAGAAGTTCGCATGTATGCATTATGAACGCTGGTGTAGCATCACAATGCGTATCCTTTGGCGAAACAACGGATTTTTAAACATAAGATGTTCAAAGAGTGATACCCGCTCCTATAGTCGATCGTTCTAGTTGTGTGTTCTCTATGAAACATACACAACCACACAATACACCACATTCTCTACACACTATACTGAATCCCGTACAATCCATTAAATATGTTCCCTTTGTCTTATTCTGCCCCATCAGGAATACGTGACAGCTGTTCCTTCTCCGCGTGCAACGGTATTCACACAATATCCCATTATTTTCAGCTTTGTTCGCTTCTGTAGCTTTTCAATTTTACAGTCTGCCGCCTCGACCGTTTGGCTTGTCCCGCAAACCGAACAGTATGGCTATGCGTGTCTGATGTGTAACAACCCGGTTGCTTTCGGTTCACTATCCATAGTTTGATTGCTTTCGTTGGTTGATTGTTTCAAATGCGCTTAACAGTCAACTGTTACCGCCTTGTCTAATGTGCACCGCACTCGCGACCCCACCCCCCGCCTAGTTTATTCGGCAATATGTACCAGTCAATTTTCCATCCGGGCACAAAATACTGTCCGGGTCCCATTTCTAAGGATTAATCACGGCTGTGGGTGTGTTTTCACTCGTCATGCATGCATGTGTTGTTTGCTGCCATCTTCGCACATTTTTGCTCTTCTCTTTTTCCCCCTTCGATTTTTCAGATCTGTCTAGTATCATTTAGAAAGCGTACCGAATTAATCATTTGCTTCAGTTTCAGTTTGAGCAACCATTAACCACGCATATTCGTGCACCGGTTTTGGTTGCCCATTGGGATGAAGCTGTAGGAGAAGAAAGGAAACTTGAAAGTGGAGTCGAAAAGGTGGTCTAAGGTTGCAAAGAGATTGAGAAGATGCACGAACGCCACTGGTTGCGACACCCAGCCATATCATTCAGTGTTTCTAATCATCGGTTACGATCATCCCGAGGTCCCCAGCCAGGGAGCCTAACGGGGCCTATGCGACCCAGTCTCATGGTTAGGGTTTTCATACCCTCGTGCCAGGTTTTAGCTTGACCACCCTTGGTTTCTTTCCACTCGGTGTCTGCTTCCATGAACATCGCTCGCCGTGGTAACCTATCTGATGACATACGTAACACATGTCCCAACCAGCGAAATCTATGGAGGTCGACCACTTGCTCCAGTGGGCGACCGCGGATACCTAAAACTCTGCGTCTAACCTCAGCATTGCTCATCCGGTTACCCCAGCAGATTCGTTCAATGCTGCGTAGACAGGGGTGTTCAAGCACTGACAGTCCATCTTTATCCTGTTTTCTTAATAGTCAAGTTTCTGCACCATATAGCAGGACTGGCCGAACTGTCGCGGCATACACTTGACCCTTCACAGACAACCGGATGTCGCGACGGCGCCACAGATGTCTCAAGCTAACAAATGCCAACCGAGCCTTCTGTATGCGAGCTGACACTTTATCCGTGATGCGTCCACCGGGTGAGATGTAGCTGCCCAGATAACAAAACTTGTCCACCTCCTCTATTACTTCCCCAGTTAAAGTGAGGCTGTGTGCTGGACCAACCCAGTCTTGTAGCAACAGTTTACACTTTGAAGGTGCAAAACGCATACAGAATATGCTTAGCATTGATGTCTTATAGTTTACCCGTTAGTTGGTACAGATGGGAATCAATTTGGCCGCATTACGACGAGACTGCATCTGGACGTGGTGTGATGGCTTGTGCACCTCTCTGACCCAACGAGCTACATAGGATGGCTTTTGTCAAGCCGGGAGATCTTATCATGTCTGGAAGGTCGAAGGGTAAAGGTCCGAAGAAGTCCATTCTCATGGTCCTCTAGGTTGGGGGTTCGACTAGAATTGGCGTCTTATTCGGTAAAAATTGGTGAAGGAGTAATTGATTCAAATAAATGAACGTCTACTTCGCTTCACCCACTGCCTTGCGGCTAGGTTCTTGTTAGAACTAAAGGCTTTGATCGAGAACCCTGATCGTTCTCTTGCCTAGTGGCTGGACACTTTAGCAATACTCGTCCATCAAACCACAGTGCATATGCATTGCGAGTTTGGCAGGGCTAAGCGAAGTTCGCTTCTCTGTATTCCGCTGTACGATGATAATAATGATTTGGCAGCTAGATCAGTAAACGTTTTCCTTTGTTGGTCTGATCTCGAAATTTCCGTTGTCAGTCTGTGTCGTGTGAAACACTGTTCTGATATATAACATGCATCATTCTCGCCACTGTTTCCTTTCGAAAATAAATGACTGAAGGCTATTCATTTCGGGTTTGATCGTTTGAGATCTCTCTCTCTCTCTCTGTCTGTCAAGTCGTATGTACTTACTTCACTTTACTGTACCACGACTGACTCCTTGGAAAGGATAAGCCGGCTCCATGAATGTCTATGATTGCCGCCCTAGAAGAGATGATCGTGAAGTTATTTTGGTACGAGAGACGTTCCCAGCGTCACTCGGCTTTTTTATTTTGAGAGCGGACCTCTAGCATTTGCACAACCAAGTGTGTACGGCAAGGTGACAGAAAGTAAGCCCTCGCCTCGGAAGTGAGGAAATCAATGCCCTTAGTTTTAAACGGTCAGTCACATCGACCTTCGTCACGACACCGGCATTGGCTTATGCGGCTTTTAAACAGGAGCCAGGTGACCAGCCTGAAACCTACCACACCCTGGTAGTGCCGCCGTATGATATGTGCACACAACTAGCTACTGATCACTGGAACAGACATTTCAGGAGATTGTTACCCAGTGTTCTAATTGTCGGTAGACGGCTTTGCTGTCATCCGGTTCAATACCACGACTAACCTAGTGGGGCCCTATGTGTTTCGCTAGTCCAAGTCCCGCGGATTACCGGTTTCCAGCACTGAATATAGCAGGTCTTCGTCACTATGGAGTCCATTCGACCTACTGTTCAGCATACAGCAGCGTGTACGTATGTATGTATGTGTGTAATAAAATAATACAGTCCGGAGGTAAATTTCGTCACAGTGAATTGTTCATGATCTCCACAATTTTGGTGTTTCATTGTGCATTAAATACTAGCAAATCATTGTTTTTGTTCTACATCAACCTTGGGTTTGATGTCCTTGGTGCCTTGGTGAATCGATAAAATAAATGATCCACTGGTTGATAATGATGATTTGACCACAGTGAACCGGGCAAGCGTTCGTTATGACATTAGGGTATTTCATTATTTAAGTAACTATGTCTCCCAACACTCAACTAAATGTATCTCGTTTTCACTATTCATTATGTTTTGTTTGTTTTGAAAAAAATCGTGATTTGAATATTAGTGATTCGGAATGCAATACGTTCATGATAATCTGAAATACCCTTTTTTGTATTAATCAACCAAGTGCCCCAGACAAATTGTTGAGACCGAAACAGTTTAAAATTGACTCAGCCACTCGTTCAACATGTCCACTGTGATTACCGGTTGCGGCTCGCAAACCTAAATTTTACGAAAGAATTATGGCGCCCTAACAAGTCTGTGCACAAGAATGAAACAGTTATCCAGTGCTTTTTTTCCGTTATCCCAAAGACTGCCACCGTAATGCAAGTGCATTTAACACGTGTGAAATGAATAGACTCTCAGTTAGCAAGAGCCACATCCGAGACCATACACAATATCTCAGACATGTAACAACCGAATGGATTTATCTCCAAAAATAGCATTCCAAATCATCTGCAACAGGTTGGTTTAGCATCTGAAATTGCTCACCTCTTGAATTTATCATACACTTTTCCACGGACTGTGATACTGGTCGTTCTCTGAATACTCCTTTTTCTTTGTCACATTTTGTCCTAATCGTTGATCTCAACTTTTTCTGTCTCGTCGAATCTGCCTCAATTTGGGAACACCCCAGATTGATCAGGCCATCCCATCCCTGTATCATCAAACTACCAGAGCATATTNAGCATATTTAACATTATATTGTGCAATTTGTTTGCGTAAATTCGTTTTACTTTCTCCCCGCATCTTGAGATGCAGCCCATTTTTTCAAGCGATTGATTTTGCATGTGATTGTTTGCGAAGTTGTTTGGCTTGCATGATTTCACGGTGAAACAGGTTGTCTAATCATTTCCTTACCAATCATAGTAGGGAAACACTTTATTTTTTATACTGATGAATATTTCAAATTGCATTTATAAGATTCAAACATGAATTCGATCATTCGATCGGTAACTGCATTTGTATTCGATTTTCCACGGAGTATGACAAGTGAGGATTACTATAGTCTTAAAGTGTGTGTGTGTGTGTGCCATCCATATAACGTAGTGGTCTCGAGTCACCATTTTCCCAGCTGAGCGCTTACGTGTCGTATGGTCTTCATCCACCATACATTATTAGGAATGAGCTATGACAAGTGAACACGTTCTTGCAGGTTTGTCGACTCTTTTCATCATCTTAATAAATAAACTTCTTGTGTCCCTGGCGTTCCAGGTGCGAGTCAAGCGGTTTTATTCATCATCCTATCTACCGATGGATGGTATGTTCGACCATGCCACCGCTGATTTAATGTCTACCCATCTTTGTATCCTCTGGTCGACACACCCTGCTTGGTTGCTCTCTTTGAGCCGCCCATTTGGATGAAGCAGTAGGACAGGAAAGTTGAAAGTAGTCGCAGAGAAAATGCACAACTACAGTGGACTAATGTTGCAAAGAAATTGAAAAGACACACAAAGGCCACTGTTTATGACGCAGCCATATCAATCAGTGTCTATAACCATCAGTTGCAGTTGTCCCGATGTCCCCATCCAGGAAGCCTAACGGGACCTTATGAACCAGACTCCTGGTTAGGGTTTACATACCCTCGTGCCAGGTCTTAGCTTGACCATCCTTGGCTTTATTCCACCCACTACCTGCCTCGGCGAACATCGCTCGCCGTGGCAACCTATCTGGTGACATGCGTAACACATGCCCCAACCAAAATAGTCTATGGAGGTCAACCACTTGCTCCAGTGGGCGACAGCGGTTGCCTAAAACTTTGCGCCTGACCTCAGCATTGCCCGNCGGTTTCCCCACCAGATTCGTGCAATGCTGCGTAGACAGCGGTGTTCAAACACCGACGGTCTCTCTTTATCCTGTTCCCGTAGTGGTCAAGTTTCTGCACCGTAAAGCAGAACTGGCCGAACTGCTGCAGCATATATTCGACCCTTCACAGACAACCGGATGTGGCGACGGCGCAACAGGTGTCTCAAGTAGGCAAATGTTAATCAAGCCTTTTGTCTTCGCGCCGACACTTCATCTGTGATGCGTTCGCCAGGTGGGATATAGCTGTCCAGATAGCAAAATTTGTCTACTTCCTCCACGACTCCTCCAGTCGTGAGGTTGGGAGCTAGATCTGCCCAATCTTGTAGGAAACTTTTACA